ACATGAAGTAGGATAGGATAGTATGTACATACCTTTTAGGGTTAGACATAGGGTTTTACATGAAGTAGGATAGGATAGCATGTATATACCTTTTAGGGTTAGACATAGGGTTTTACATGAAGTATGGACTATCAGCTGAACTACTTTTACTTTTACTTTTTATTTCTTAATTAGGTTAATTTTATACCCAATTTCTGTGAAATTTATACCCAATCCTACACTCGTTTTTGCTGTGTTCAGCTTTTTCTGAAATGAACAAAAAAGTAATGCTTATAAAGTAATTAACATCTTATATTATTTTGACCATGTCGATTTTTTCCAGTCTAGATTCTCTTAGGTAGACCACTTGCACTTCTCAACTCATGATGTTTTGAATTTTTGCAAATTGTTGCTAAAACATACCAGAAGCACAAACARCAACACCAAACTTCAACTTGACACTATTTCAAGGCAAAATGATTGTTCAGACAATATTTTCAGATGGCTAGTCCACAAAAAGCATACAAAATTGGAAATTTTATGTTCGGTGCAATCTTTGGATTACTTTTTACAAAAAAACCGGTCATATACATATAATAAAACTGTGACTTATTAACTAAGCTTGCTTGGTCTATTATAGAAAACCTCACTGCACTTGGTCTTTACTTCCTAGTTGCAGTCTAGATTTTTCTATCTAGACCGTGCACTGGGTTAAGAGACCTAATAGAATTTCTGAAATATTKTAGTCCCACCTTTTTTGATTGACAGGCATGTAGATGTGTGGAAGAACTTGAAGTGCCTCACTTCCATCATGAACTCATTTATGAGGTTAGTTCTCAAGCTTTAAGTATGTATCATTTTTATCCACATAGAGTGTTTTTGTTTGTTTGTTTTTGTTTTCGTAAATCGCCTTGTTTCCTTATACTTTTCACATGCACCAATGTTTTTCATGATAATTAAATGGGACTGTTTATAATTATGGTCTGTAAGCTTTCCTGCTTATCAAACAAAATCAAAACAAATCCAATGCCTGTTGTTTAAGCTGATTTCAATTTGACATTCAAAGCATTCAAAGGCAAATATTTTGAGGATTATTCAATGACCAATGTTCTTGCTGTTATGGGTTAAACGTTTTGTTTTTCAGGCAATATACTTGGTTATGGACAAGGAATCAAAGCGCACACTTGATTTAATGAAGAATCTTTTTAAAACCTTCTCTTCAGTGAATATTGTAACACCAGACCAAATGAGAAATGTAAGTCATTAATTACTGATGAGGATCATTAATGTGTAAGAGATACCCTTGTCCCAGAGGTTCTMTTTTTTAACTCTATATGTTGGCATGAAGCACTGTTTATTTGAGCCTGTAAGGCCTAGCGATAAACAAACAGGTTTGATAAGGGAATGATTGGAAACCAGCATTATTGGATRCATGTCTGTTGTTGTGTTTTAGGGTTTCCAGCGTGTATTTGATTCAATGGATGATATTACACTGGACATACCTCATGCCTATGTGACTCTGGAGAAATTTGTCAATGAGTGTGCTAAGGAAGGTGTTATTCCTAGAGCTTTGCTTCTCAAAATACCAACAAGGTACGAAAATAATTAGATTGTACTGTAATGGAACGTCATGTCTTCACATTGCTCTTTTACCACCTGGCATTTGAAAGATATAAAAGACCCRTATGAACCCTAGGCTGTCAAATACCATGTCAACTGATTTATCGACTTACAGAAGACCCCAGTTCTAGTAGCATGCAGAATAAAAGGCTGATACATACTTAATTTGTATATCTTTCAGAGGAMGGAAAAGATTTGTTAGTGAAGGTGATGGTGGTATGTTCAAGCATACCTAATTGTCTTATCAGCTGTTACCATGACAGCGACTGAGAGCAGCTGTAGAATACTGATGTTTGGGTGATTAATAAACATGTGGTCTCTAAACTTGCTGTTTCTAAGTTGATTGGTTAACACCTTAAGGATGCATTAGCCAAATGATGATCCCTTTCTTGCAGTCCTGTTGTATGTGGCCTTGTAAATTCTTGAATGTACGATACACTTTATAAATAAGCAACAATGGTTATTATGAAATATTAAACTAAAATACTTTTTAAAAGTACAGATTTTATTACCCTAGTATCAYAGCTTCGATTTTACTGAAGAGCGGGAGGTGATGCCTGGGTTTTATWTTTAAGCAATTAAGGATTGCGACTGCCAACGTCTCGAATGTCTATTTTACAAAAAATAAGTTTTTGATGAAYTATAAAACGTTTCATAAAAAATATTAATCGGAAGTATATCACATAATTTTTAGCATGTCAATTCTTTTTTCAAAGGTGTCACTCGATGACGAAAAATTTCAGCTTTCGCTGTAGTTTTATTTACTTGAAGTTGTATCCCATTTCCCCACGGTCACGTGATAGAGTGCTCGCACTTAAAACGTGAAACAAATAGTACTAATTACTACTAAATAGTGTTGATTATACAATAGGAAACAAAGGAATTTGTATAATTTATCGCCTATGTTGTAGTATTCATATTTTTTACGCATTTAGTGCGAGCACTCGAACGAGCACTCTATTTGACAACAATTTACGTTGACAGAGTGTCCAGACTTTTACAAGCGTACAGTGGTCCCTAACAAGCGAATAGAAGCACCTAAAAAGCGGCCCCTAAGGAATCCCAATTTAACGATGATATTAGCAATGCAAAATATGTTAAATGTCACAAATAATTCSTTGTTTGGCAGCGTAGTACTTACCCTGGTCCCAGAGGTTTGATATTTTCTCTCTTCTCGATTACGGCGCTTCGCGCCGACAAAAACAATAGCGAAGAGAGAAAATGTCAAACCTCTGGGACCAGGGTATAGGAGGAGCYGACGGGTTACTTGGAGAAACATATCTGTTCTCATGTCCCAGCCAGCGTAAATCACAACTGGTTGCCAGAGAAATTCAGGAAAAAAAACTCGTTCCAGACCAGGAATACTTTCTAAGAATTTTTGCCAGGAAAAAAAAAATTCCTAACTAAAAAAGATATCCAGTGATCTCCAGTCCATTTGTTATGGACCGACACAGGGCTCCCGCGCGTAAGCACGGCTTCCGACTGTCACTTCCTTYTGTCTGTGTACCACCACAGGCAATCCATACTCCGAACGAAAAGGGGGAAAAAAGCGCCAAAATATTTGTTGAAACATCGTTTTTTTCCTCAAACATTCATCTTTCATATTGATAATATTTCAAAAATTAATCAAAAGCAAAAATCCACAGGAGAGCGAAATTTTGAAATTTTTTGAAATTTTTCGAAATTTTGTCATAAACTACGACGCGTCTGCACATCCAGGAAATCGATTTGCGAAAGATAAAAAGTAATCTACTTTATTCCTCAAGTGTTTTGAGGTTCAGTTTTTAGTGTTATTTTTTTTTCGAAGAAGTGTGGACATTTTGAAACCAAGATTGTGCCAGCAGAACTCGATTGAGAGATGAGCTTCGGTCATTTCAAAGAATCGACAAATTACAGGCTCGAATGACTTTAAAAATTGATAAAACTTGTGGTAAGTATGGTCATGATATTTTYGAACTGGATAGTTAAGGCGAGTTTGCCTTGGATATCTCGCAGTTGGTTATAGTCCTGTTTAAAAAGTTAGTTTACCGACAAAAGTTTACTATCTATAGCATTTTCTTGGTATTTGATAGAGGAACATTTACCGAAAGTTCAGAAATCAAGGTAAAAAAAATATGTAACATTTTCTTTTACAGTTTGCTGTGATGTGAAGCCACGTCTACCTTAAATCTGGTTCAATGCTCGGTAATATGTTTTATTTGCAGTTATTAATCAATTGATACATACAGATTAACTGATAAGTTCGTCCAACTCAACAAAAAGAGTATGAAATTCTTATGATTACTCTTTCTTTTGTATGTAATTTTAATGGTATTTAATAAAGATAATGAATGTGTTTACATTCCTTGAAACAGAATACATATACCAAGGCTATCCCGAATTGAAATAGTAGAGAATTGTAATTGTCACTGTACACAAGGATTGCCGTGCAGGATGTAACGGACAGGAAGTTTTCTGTTTATTTAATTTTTCTTTTGTGCTTATGCTAAAGTTTATGTTGCCCAGTAACATTGTGCTCATTAATACTTTTGACCCAGTAAAAATCAGGTTGGTCTTCTTATAACTATTGTGCGTGTTTTCTAATCTAGCTAAAGAATTTTCTGATTCTTGAAATCAGTATTAGGTGATATTAGGTGATTATATAGGTGTTAAAAGGAAGATTAAAAAAAAAGAGTAAAAAAGAACGGACACCAGAGGAGGGGCGAACTATTTCAGAGCCAAAGCGAATTTCAGGTGAGGAAAGCAATGGACAGTGTTTAGATGAAAAAAATAAAACATTTAGTTTTGTCCCTGTTCAGTCAACCTTTAATATTGTTTGAGGCGACATCGAGACCGTCATTACAGGAGAAAGCAATGTAGATTTTGCTATCATCGAAATTAAATGACATCTTATGCTTTTGAGAATATCAGCGTGCATATAAACAAACTTTTGACTCCCTTTACAAGTTTTGGCTGCTTTTCAATGGTTTCAGATAATCGAACTGCAGGTTGTTCGACTGGAATGTTCATCAAACAGTTAGACGTTATCGGTTGAACAGCCCGACCATGGATATAGTATTTCTCATTAATCTTCTCATTATTCATTTCTAAAGATGCCTCGCCYTTCCTGCGTTGTTGTTTCTTATTCTGTTTGTTTCATTATCATATTGTTGTTTAGAATTAGACAAGCGCCCCATGTTTTGTAAATGCGTTCCCATGAACGGTGTTTTTATCATGTGTATTATCACCGTATATATAAAAGTGATTAATGAACATTTGTCTTATAGGCGGTACCCGTAGTATATGCAACATAGCTGATTCGCCCCATGGCGGTTAAGCCAAACACACAAGTAGTTTCATGAGCCACCACTGAGATCTCTAAGCTTTAACAGCGTTTCGAATTAAAAGGCTCTTTATATGCCCCACAGGTGCCTACATTGATTTCTATTTTGTCCGAGTCCAGAGCACCCAACAATTGCATTCGCCATATCTTTTTTCTTTTTACAATCCTTTGGGATGAGGAATTACATGACCGGCATTTCAGTTCTTACTGAATTTAATACTACTCATAGGAATGCAAGGCAGTGYCTGAAATTCATAGAGATCTTTGTTTGCAATTTGATAAAGGGCGCTATAATTAAAGTGAAGAGGCATTGCGTTGTTAAGCAGTTTTTATTGTCTAAATATTTCTGTCCCTGTTTCATAACGCTTAGCAAATCACTATAGACCACGTGGTGATAGAGACTTCTTCTGTCACGTCGCACGTGTGTAATTCTCGATTGCCTCTTTTATTTAACACATTTCAAGTACTCGCGTCTGTTTTCTTATAATATGAAAGGGGAAAATCGAAAGAAATGCAGTATCTTTTCATAATCCTTAACATACCCGMATTATGTCATCGCTGATCAGTAGAGCAAATGACTTTCAAGTCGTATCTAAGTCAGATAATAGGAGATAATAGATTAAACACAGCACCCAAATAGCGCGTTGACTGTCTAGGGACTTTTAAAATACTCCAAAAAGAGTACCTGTAAATAAGACAATAGAGAGCATACGGTCCTTTAAGAAGAGACGCCAAGATGTTCCAGTGGGATAATCATAGATATGTTAGCTTGTGAAGGGCCGATAAACATGTACTGTCATAGACTGTCAGATGTGTTAGTTTCTTTCTTGGGCCGTTAATCTACAGTTTATCTTCTCTGTGTGGTTTTGTGTATTTATTTATGTAGTCTGCAATGAAATAATAAAACAGTAAAGCAATTAGTTAAAGCGTTCAAAAATCACCACATCACCGGATAACAGACGGTGTTTGATAACACTATTGATTTGAAAGTCTATTGTTGTTGATATGAATGGCCCATTCACACATAATTACAACGGATTTGCCCATTCTTCTTTTTAAAACCAAATAAAAACAAAAGTTACCTAAACTCGTTGCTGAAACATTCTTTTTAGAATCATCAAATTATGAAGAATGCTCGGGCTGCCTGATCTTACCAAAAAAATAATTTTGTGAAGCATATGATAAAGCAAGGACAAAAGAACCGACCACCAGTTGTTAACATCTGCCGGCGGTTTAACTGGGAAACAACTTAAACTCTTCCAATCACAGCTGGATTTGACAATTTAAAAAGGGAATTCTAGCCTTTAAAAAGGTGCAAACTGTAAGGCTATTTTGATAGGAACATCTGTGTGTTCTTATGTGGTATTTAGTGGTTATTAACCTTAAGATAAAGACTGATATAGTTTCCTCATTATTAGCCCATGACTAGAGTTAAGTAGCCTTGGATCCTATGTTTTAGGAAAACACGATTGTTTTTATGTTCAACAAAGGAAATTCTACCATGTAATTACCCATACAAGATAAGTAAGTGTGTTTTCGAGGTCTTTTGTCGAAATCCCATCAATAAATAACGATCTGCACTACAAAAAATAATTGCAATCAAAACAAATCCAAAACAGTTCAAAACAATGAGAATTCAATGAAGCGCGTAAAGTCGATTTCCACCAGCATCTCCCCTCTTGTTTCACCAATACCGTCCACCGTGCTGTGTCAATTATTCATGGTTGTTCTTCATTTCCATTGTATTTGGCCAAACAGCCTCGTTAATTTCATAAGGGTGCCCTATTATTTACTGTGATGAATTATTAACTCCCAAAGACCCACATAATAGGCAGGCTCAAAGGGTAGCCATTCAAGCTTGCTATTGTTCACGGCATCGTGTATACAGTGATTTTAATTTCACTAAACAAGTCACTATAAAAGGTCTGTTGGTCAGTAAAGTTGCCAGAACGTGAACACTGTCAAGAAGGTCACTCACTACACTCAATTTTAAAATGACTAAGCCTAGTGAACATATCAAAAGACCAATGAACGCATACATGGTGTGGTCAAGAAAGGAAAGAAGAAGAATCGCCGAAGAGTGTCCAAGGATGTTAAATTCAGAAATCAGTAAGCGACTAGGTCTGGAGTGGAACTCATTAACACACGAGCAAAAACAACCATACGTAGAAGAAGCCAAGCGACTCAGAGAATTACACAAGAAAGACCACCCAGAATATAAATACCAACCGAAGCGGAAACCAAAAACATGTCCCAAAATCAAAACACAGAGTCCATTTAACTACGGCTTTCCTGGAGAAGGTCTTCCTCTGCCGACTCCTTCACCGACCGCTACCCTGTGTCCTCCTCTACCATCTCACATGGTTCCTAGCGCTACAATGATGAGTATGGGTGGTTGTCCTGGAGCTTGCACTATCGCTGAACCTCCACCACCATATCACTTTGCACCACAYTACTCACTTCAATCCATGTCAGAATATAAATCGCCTTGTTCTTCTCACATGTCGTTGATTGGCAGAGACATAGCGTATCCGCCATCAGTAGGATACACGTCACATGGGCCTCTTATAGGCCATCCTATGCACGTTATGCACCATCGTGAACTCTTACCTGAATCAGGAGTTGTTCGTACTCCAACGCCTATTGATGCTAGAAATGGCCTCCCAAGACATCCTCTAGACTGCGTAGTTATGAGACCCGATGGATATTAACACTGGTTAACACATTCCACAAGTAACAACAGTCTTCAAAGAAAGAGACTTTTATAGGAGAAAAGACATTTATACGCTTTAAATTAAAGCATTATACGTTTTGTACAAAACGAGAGCCTCGTAAGGGGCTGAAAAATGACTGCAAAGGATATTACAGTATAATGTCATGTATATTTTTAATAAAAGATTTCTACAGTAGTTTTCAGTCCCACAAAAATGCTAGCTTATTTGAAGATTTATAATGTAAACTATAATTTGTATTTAATACAAACATGTAAATAAAAGTTTGCTTGTACAACATTGGTTAATGGCTATTTGATTGGATCTTCACACGTCGCCGGAGATGAATCGCAGATAGATGAAGTTGAACTGCTTTGCAGTGGAGTATATACGAATTATAGGTCTTATATTCAAAGTATAATGACACTTGGCGATATAATAGACTACCCGTTCCTTTGACGTTAACAGCCTTTGTCCTGTCGTTTGTTATTTTCGAATGTCATGTTGAGTGCCTTAATGAAAGTGTAAAAATTCGAATCAGTTTTTGACACAGATGTTCCATTTCTTGTTCATAGTTTAGTTTAAAAATATAAGAAAAGACAGATCAAGGGGTGCGCCAAGGAATTCACTAATATAGTATTGTTCTTTTTTATTCAGTTTGTAAAAAGGTTTGCAGGGATAGAAAATCTCAGCATTAAAAACTCATCCTTGATACATGAGAAACTGATTTTGCTGAGTTTTGRTCTATTATCGACCATAAACAGTTGGGTTGTCTAGATAACATTGTCTAGCATGTCAGTTGAAATCTATGTTTCCAAAGATTAGGAGGTGGCTTTGAAGATATAATCTACGCGATTATCATATAATCATTGTTTTAGGATTCTTAAAATCCCCGCCTTATAATGTAAATAAAAAACATAAGAATAAATCGTTTGATTTTTTTTATCGAATTTAGTTTCAACTAAAAGAGAAGTCCAAAACTGTTAAACCAATAGAAACAAAAATGATCTGACAAAAACTACGATGTTTGAATGTAAATGTTTATGTTTGAATTCTCTTTACAAGTACATTGTGACATTTTCTCACATCCAACCTTCAGTGATTACAAATTGGTAGAGTTATTTTCTTGTCGATCTGCAGGTACTTGAAAGAGGTAGCCATGCAAATGATTTGTTTCTTTGTCATGTCACGTGCTAGCACTTAGCATTTGGGGATTTGTGAATGGTAGTTTGTCATTTGAATCATTTCTTCGTAGTAGAAAAAAGCTAAGAAAATATCATATATTAACAATGCTATGAGGACTTAAACCGTATTTTAGAGCAATAAAAATCATTTACGTGCCATGATAACCATGATCCCTGCTGACCGTTATAGAATGTCTTTATCATGGTTTCTTTAGCACTTTAAATCTGAGATTTATTCAATGAAGGCGTTGTTTTTACTCTAAACAATAAAGCCAAGTGTTTTTACTTTTTTATTGGACTTACATCACGCTGGCAGATTGGATGAATGAACACATGTCTATCCCTTCGGATGGTCATTTGTAAGAAAAAACAGACTTTTTTCATTAGTGTAGTTTGTAACCAGTGGAAACTCTCAATGGAAAACCTGCAAGATTCATATCCCATGAACAAACTAGCTACTCAACCTATCGGAACAATTAACATTACAGTTTTTCGTGAGGAATCTATAGCTCTCGAAAGAGCATCATGCATGTCAGGGCCAAGTGGATGACGAAGGCCCATGGCTAGGAGTTCTAACGGTTAAAATGTCACATGTCATTGATATCAGAATCTAACCACGTGGATACAATTTTTGATTTGGTTGGAATTGTGAAAAGTATAGAGAGCGTAAGCGGAAAACGAAAATYSAAAATTATTTTCATCACCATTCATAATATTGAGAGTTATTATCAAAATGAAAGTGTTTAAGCTGACGCGGCGTGAGAAATAGTTTGATTACAATGTGTTGTATTTGTTTATTTTTGTTGCTATCAATCATAAAATACAATTTTACTTTTATGATCAAATAAAACAAAAACCCAAATAAACTTAAAAGAGAACAATCGATGTCATTCACGGGCCTTAAATACCGCATCACTCATTGAGACTTTATATCGATCATTTATATTTGAAATATTTCTTTCGTTCAAATAACACAGCTTCCTTGAACTATTGAAATGATTTTTACAGGTTAATCCATAAAGGGGAAACTGGTGGTGGTTGTATGTCTTTAGAAATATCCTTTTAACTAACATGGTTTGGATAGATGCTCTTAAGGTTATTATGATCAAAATCACTCATATATACAAAATATTACAAAATCTAATTMACTCAATTACATCGGAACGATATTCCTTAAACATGTACAATGATTTAGCGAACAAAATTATTGAAGCCATATGCATGGAATGCAAGACACGTTTTCTTCTTCAGTTATGATATACCTGCTCGGAGAATCGCTTTGTTTCTTTACAATCAAACCAATGTCCTTTTAATGCCTTATCTGCGAAAAACGGCAGAAAGAAAGAAAGATCGACACTTTACTACCGGAAAGTCTTGTTGCAAGAAGACTTTCCGGTAGTAAAGTGTCGATCTTTCTTTCTTTCTGCCGTTTTACGAGCATGCAAACAATTAATTTAAGAAAATGTAACCAGTACAAACACGCAATGATAACAACAAATATAGCAATAAGTCAATTTAGTCACATATCCAAATTATTATGTATCCAACATCAGACACAAAATCCTAAAAAGTTTTTGCACTTCCCTTTCATACAAATTGACATCAAATGAATCTGATTCTAAGAGTAGCCTCTTACGATTTTGTTTCAGTCATTCTATTGTTTCCTGTTATGTCAGTTCTCATGAGTCACTTTTCCTAGTGTGAAACTAAATTGTCTCCTCCGTTGCCTCGTTACTAGTCCCAATCTCTAACTGACCTAACACAGGAAGTCCGTTAATTTTGAAAGGAAAGAGACGCCTGCGGGGGAGGCTAAGTAAGAAAAACTGTTTTAATTTCAACCACTCAATTCTTAATTGCTCGGAAGATGAGAAACCACAGTAAGACACTTTGCAAAACAACAAACCATCACTGGTCGCAGCCGATGAATGAAAACAACTTTACTTTAAAGTACACCTGTACACTAAAACTGATAAGGAATAAAGTACATCAGTATGAAATGTTAAAAAAGAATACATACTTGATTTTTAAAACACCTTTGTCTTACAAAATGAAGGTTCATTTATATACTTACTGATGGTTTAGATGCAGTCACTTTGAATATCTCGGAAGACAGTGAGAAAATGTAGTAAACAAAAACAAAGATCATTGCGTTGATATATTACTCTAATAATCACAAGTAAAAGGTTTTGACATTCTCGTCATCATAGACTACCACGTACGACAAGTAAMACAGCATCATACATATTGTATCTATCAAGGGACGTGATATCAATGGTTATGTAATTCCAAGACATGCGGCGGTATAGTTCTTGACTGTCCATTTGCATTTTCATTAAAATGGTCGCCATTAAAATGGTCGCCGATTTGAGRCTGTTCACAACAGCAAATGAAATGTTTCAAAGCAACGCGAAAGTCCTTGTTCAAAAACCCGTATATCGGTGGGTTTAGCAGAGAGTTCCCATAATGCATCCATTTGGTAACTAGAATAGGGATTGTGCTTATGTACGGACAATCATCGCATATGCTGTAAATCGCGTTGATTACCACAAATGGAAGCCAGCAAATTACAAAAGCACCCACTACGACAGCAAGAGTTTTCGCAGCTTTAAACTCACG